AGGAAAGGTTAAGGCGCTTAGGGCTCTTTAGCTTGGAGAAACGACGACTGAGGGGTGACATGATTGAGGTTTATTATGCATGGGAAAGAGCAGGTACTTTTCTCCCTTTCTCACAATACAAGAACTTGTGGGCACTCCATGAAATTGCTGAGCGGTCGAGTTACAACGGATAAAAGGAAGTACTTCTTCACCGAAAGAGTGATTAACACTTGGAATTCACTGCCACAGGAAGTGGTGGCGGCTACAAGCATGGACGGCTTCAAAAGGGAATTAGATAAGCATATGGAGCAGAGGTCCATCAGTGGCTATTAGCCACAAGGTATAGATAGGGACTCTGGGGCAAGTGATGCTCTGTCTTCTTGGTGCTTGGGGGGGTCAACAGTGGGAGGGCTTCTAATGTCCTGGCCCCACTGGTGGACCTCCTGATGGCACTTGGTATTTCTGGCCACTGTGTGACACAGAGTGTTGGACTGGATGGGCCTTTGGCCTGATCCGACATTGGCGTCTCTTATGTTCTTATGAATCTATGGAACCACATCCTTGCTGAAGGCCCTCCTCAGACTCCACACCAAAATCTCCAGGAATTTCAAGGTTTGCCTGTCTCCAGGAGGGGCCTGCAGTCCTCCAAGAATTACAACTGATCTCTAGACAACAGAGTTCAGTTCCCCTGGGAAAAATTGGGCCTTCTGGAGGATGGAATCCCTGCCGAGGTCCTTCTCTCCCCCAAAGCCTGCCTCCTCCAGGTCCCACCCCCCAATCTCCAGGAATTTCCCAGAGCTGTGGTTCGGTAGCCTTGTTCACCTTTAACCTTGGATCTAAACTTTCCAGCCCCTAAGACTCATGCTCATAGTTTAAAAATCTTAAATGCAACAAAATACAAAACAGATTTTACATCGGCATATTGCAACATCAGCAGTCCTTGAGGGTTGTTACAAGGAAATCCCTTGAAGCATCTTTACTGGGTAGGGATGAGAGAATCTGGGGCCCACATGTTTTTTTTGCTGTTGCTATAAAGGAGTTGGAGGGGAAGTACCGGTAACTGCTCCAGTCTTGGCTATGGTACCAGGCTGTTCTGCAGAAGCACTAAAGAAGTAAAGGTTTCCCTTGCTCGAAAACCAGTCGAATCCGACTCTAGGGTTGCAGTGCTCATCTCCGTTTCCAAGCCAAAGAGCCAGTGCTGTCCAAAGATGTTTCTGTGGTCAACTGTGGTTTCTGTGACTAAACACCGAGGCACACGGAACGCTGTGGTACCGAAGCGGTACCTATTTATCTACTTGCAATTTCTTGCTTTCGAACGGCTAGGTTGGCAGGAGCTGGGGCCAGAGACAGGAGCTCACTCTGTCATGCAGCACTCGGGTCTCGAACTGCCAAACTACAGATCTTCCAGTCTGCAGCTCAGTGTCTAGGTACCCTTTATTTCCTACTGGGGAAACTCATATTACTGAAAGACTGGCTATCTTATTTAACTTACTTAGGCTCCAGTCACACGGGCCGGAAAATGCGGGGTGGAAGCATGGCTGTTTGCCCCGGAGCAAACTAATGCGCGGCTGCGCAATCAGACGTCCCCTCGAGGTCTCGTGGTTAAGGGGGGGTGCCGATCACACAACGCGGCAAAGAAGTGGCGCAGCGCGGCAAACGGGGCTGTGTTTTGGTTTTAAACTGAAGTGTGCGCATGCGCCGTTGGGTGCTTGTGCGCATCCCGTGGAGACTTGAAAAAAATGCTAGTTAATGCCAAATGTTTTATTTCTTTAAAACATTTCTAAACCACCTTTCTTACCCAAATAAGGTCACCGAGGTGGTGAACATCTAAACATTAAAATATTTAAAACATGAGAACAGCATTTAAAATATTTATACAATTCAATAAAAACTTGTAAACATACAAACACAACACAACTCGGTCAGTGGGAGTTACTGGGGGTACTGCGAACAAAACAAAAAAGTCTTCACCTGCTGGTGAAAGACAATGACAGAGGGGGGGGAAGAGCATCCCCGAGAAGGGAGTTCCAAAGTTTCGGTGCTGAGAAGGCCCTTTTCTCAGGTTGCCACCTGCTGAGGGACTTGGGAATGTTCAGTCTGGAGAACAGGAGGCTGGAGGGGGGGCACAGGATGGCTCTCTTGAAGTACTTGAAGAAGGGCTGTCACTCAGAGGAGGGCAGGGAGCTGTTCATGTCGGCAGCAGAGGAGAGGACGCGCAAGAATGGGTTGGAATTAAGGGCGGGGAGGCACCGGCTGGCTACTAGGAAAAGCTTTTGGACAGTCAGAGTTGTGCCACAGTGGAAACAGCTGCCTGGGGAGGTGGTGAGCTCCCCCTCCCTGGCCGTCTTCCAGCAGCAGCTGGACAAAGACTTGTCAGGGATGCTCTAGGCGGATCCTGCATGAAGCGGAGGCTGTGGCCCCTTCCCAGTCTGTGATTCTATGAACAGAACTATGTCCAGGAACCTGTTCTCAGTTTCTACAGCCTCCCTGGGATTTGGCTGCAAGCGTGAGATAAAGCTGACTAGTGTCATCTGCATACTGCTGCCGGCTTTTCACGTAGCCACTGAGACCAGGATCCTGGATGCTGAAAGAATTTCTGTTAACCAAACAGAAGCCAAAGACGGTTAACCAAAGACTACAGTTTGTTTTAATGACCGTGCTACTGAAAGAGATCCACAGATCACATGATATAATCTGGGGCGGGGGTGTGTGTGTGTGAGTTGACGTTCTCTCTTACCTTTGTTCTTGTCTAGCTTCTGGATGTCCTGGATATGCGCCTCACCGTTTTCTCCTGCAGAAGTGACCGAGGCTTCCGGCTGACCCTTGGCCTGTGTGTTATTGCAATTATTGGTGGACAAGGCCAGCAGGTGACCCTTGGAGAGCCTCTTGGGACCCGGCTGCACGTCGCACTGCTCCTGCAGCCCAGGCACACGTTGTTCCTGGAAACTACTGGGGGAAGCAGAGTGAACTGACGGTTTTTTGGCTGAGTCCATGAGCCCAGGATCCTGACCGGCAGGCTCGTAGGGGCCTGTCAAGACAGCCCTTCTGTAAGGCAAAGGGGACGAGAGGGCTTTCCCAGTGCTAGGGGGTGCAGGTACCCGGTTCACTAGGTTGTAGCCGGCAGCCGTGTGCTTTGCTAATTGCTGTGACTGGCCTGTTATCTGTGCGGTTTGGCTTAAGTTGTTGGTTGGCCGAGGAGCACGATCAGAGCTTTCCGCTGGTTTCCCATTCAAAGAATCCGTCACACCGTCAGGGTCCAACTGGGAAGGCACCTGCTGGGAGTGGACGGCAGGCGTGGGCTGCCTCAGCTGAGCCTTGGCTGTCCTGGTGTGTCCTTGGCCCTGGCCTTTCTTGGTCAGCTGAAACTGATCCACAGGCCGGTCAACTCTAGGAAAGGCTTCCACCCCATTGGCCGCCCTCGTGGTCACCTGTCCTCTTACCTCAGAAGCCCCCTTAAAGTTACAGCTGCACGTCTCATTAGCAGTTGAATGGATCTCCACGCGACTAATTCTGGGCCCGGTATCCCAGATCTTCACCCCACTGGCACTGCAGACGCCATTCACCCTGTGCCTCTCCCAGTCAGCCCTCCTGCCCTTCTCTGAAGGACAAGAAACCTTAGGATCAGGACAGGAACTACCACGACAGTTATTTTTGTCCACCATCCGGCAGCTGTTGGTCCCGGCCTCTTCACTGTCTGTCCTGTAGCTATCTGACGTATCAGTGGTGCTGTCTAGAGCCGAATCTACATCGTCTATGCAAGTCACTTCTCCAATATAAGTTTCCCTGATACGTTCCGTGTAAACACGCTGCCGAGAAGGAAGGATCCACAGTGGGGTTCCTTTGGGACCCAGAGTCCTTGTTCGCGAGTCCTCTTGGCACGCACTGAGCTCTTTGCTTTCATGGGCCTGGGAAAGATTTTTGCTTTCTTGAGGGATGTTGCAGGTTTGAGGCATGACGTTCCCAGCTGAGTTGACTCTGGCATCTGGGTTCTGATTGGCTGCCGCATTGGTGATGTAAGAGCCACAGGCACTGCATTTTCCTTCCATGTTGACCATAAGAGGTTTTCCCTTCTCAGAGCGCCCCCTGATGCTTTGCTGAGTGTTTGGCTGTTCTTCGTTCTGCTTCCGTTGGAGGTCGCCATTTATATAATCTGAAAGGTCTGGTTTGGAGGCAAGCGGGCCCTGTCCAAGAGATAAGAGGACTGAGTCTAAGACCCGCTTCTGGCGCTGCTGCAGGCGTTCCAAGTAGCGGACCTCAGCGTCCCGCGCAGACTCATCCTCGAAGCGGACTCGGGAGGGTGATGGCCCCCGCTTCCCCTGCTGACCGCAGCTAGAGTCCCCGCTAGATGAATCACTTAGGTTCCCGCTAGCATGGGAGTCTCCATCCTTCAAGGCAAAGTTCCTTGTGTCCACGGCAGCAAACCCACAGGCATCCCTGCAACACAAACAGGCATCAGCCGGATTTGGTGACACTGATTGGCCCTTTATTGGCCTCCAACATAGGGACCAACCCTGGCCAGAGGGACCATTTGGCGTAACAGCGCATGTTGAAGCCTAATGAGAAACCAAACCTGAAGATACCACCTCTAACCAATTCTACTTTGTGAGCTACTGGCATTAAAATTGTGAGTGAGTGATTTCTAAGATAACATGGTTGGAAGATAAAGCTTTACCATCTTAAGTTCATGACTACTACTTCTGAATGAAGCCAGTGGACTAGCCTCAGGGACGGTTTTGATCATTACAGTGTGGGTCAGGATGGACAATGTGATTACAGTTCATGAAACACAGTTAACCCTCTGGAAAGAAAGAAAGGGGAGTTAAATGCTGGATTACAGTGAACTCCCTTTTCTTTCCAGAGGGTTAACTACGTTAGCCTATTGCTGCCAAATTAAGTGGAAGCCCAGCCCTACCTTGCAGGACTAACATGAACACTACCTTGCAGGACTAACACGCTGATGAAACGAGCTCTGACTCACACAAGAACACATGTTGCTAGTCTCTTAAACGGCTACTGCACTTCTAGCATAACTGAGCTCCCATTTGTGGGACCAAAGCACTGACGTTGCATTCCACAACAGTGTTTTCTTTCCCTTCTCTAGGGAGGAAGGCAGCACAGCTTGAGCTCACCATACTCAGAAGGGAGACCTCGAAGGAGAAATCTGCCGAGGAAACCAATGGCCAGCCACCTCTGCTTCTCACTTGCCTCGAAAGCCCCTTGCCGCCGGGGTCTCCAGAGGTCGGCTGTGACCTGATAGCACTTTGCACACACGTATCACTTTTAGCTGTCAGCCACACACACACACACTACAAACTCCTGTGGGCATTCTCTTGGCTCAGCGCACATCTGTATTCTCACACAGGACCCTCACATACAATGTCAGATGCTTCTGACTGAGCGATGTACACCGATCACTTGTTGCAACGATGGCAAGTGGGAAAGGCAATGGCTGCCAGTGGGGATGGCCGGCAAGACAAAAGAAGCCCCCAACGAACATGCAGAGAGAGAGGCTCGGTCTCCGGTTTGGCTAGGGGACTGAAAACACACACACACACATCTGTAGGGGCAAGGGGAGGTGACGGTGGCAGGAAACGCTGACTGCCAAAGCATAACAAAACCCTTCCTTATCCCCCTTCCCCCGAGCCCAGCAGAGGGGAAGCCTTACCTCCTTTCCTGGGGTGCAGCGGGCAAGATGCTGTGGTTGGCTCGGAGGGGGTTCGTCCGGGCCTTCATGCGCGCTCTCTGCAGCAGTTGCTTGGCCTGCTCATGCCGGGGGCTCAGCTCCAGCTCCTGGTCGGGAACAAAGGCCCTGCAAGCAAGGCAGCACCACGGAGTGCCCCAGGGCGGAGGGGGGGGGGGGGATTACGGGGGAAAAACAACAAGGATTAAGGGTGGTTTAACAGTGACGGCGGCAGCCTAGCAGGGGAGACAGCATGCTCTCAGAGGCTGGGGAGGCCCCTGCAGCAGCCTAAAACGACACCAGGTGGCATCTTGCCAGGCCAGGACCAAACGGGCAGTCGGACGGGGCTTTGGGAAGGCAGAGATCAGAACTGGGCTCGGAGGAGACATTTCGGTTGTCAGACTGGCCCGGGCATTCTTTTCTCATTGTTGTCTCCTCCACCGCCCCCCCTCCATCCCTCCCTCCCTCCTGGCTTGATTATATTTTGTGACTCCTTAAATCATAAAAAAAGCAAGGTCTGTAAAAGAAGTATTGAACGCTACCCAGAACGTGAAACGGTGGGCGAGAAGGACTATAAGGAAGCCAGAGAACTGCATCGGGAAAAGATGACGATTGCAAATGTGCAAATGTACAAATCCAAATGAAGACGGTTTCAGAGGGTAGCTGGGTTGGTCTGCACTCTGCAGTAGAGCAGTTAGGTTCGGGGGCGGGAGAGACCCACAAGAGTTTCAGGGTGTCTCAAGAAGAGAGCTTTTACTTTTGAAAACTCATACCCTGGACTCAAATCTAACAATACTAATTCAAAAATAAGGATGCACTATGCAAGACGCAGGGGCCGTGGCTCAGAGGTAGTGTATCTAGTTTGCATACAGAAGGTCCTGGGTTCAAAGTCTGGCAGCTCAAGAGGGTTTTTTTTTTTTTTTAAGGATCAGGTAGTAGTTGATGTGAAATAACTACACTGAAGAGCTGGTGCAAGTCAGAGTAGACTATACTGCCTTGGAGATGCCAAGAAGAAGAAGAAAAGACATTGTATTTATACCCCACCCTTCACTCAGAGCGGCTTACAGTCGCCCTTCCCTTCCCCTCCCCACAACAGACACACCCTGTGAGGTGGGTGGGGCTGAGAGAGCTCTGAAAGAAACTGCTCTTTTTCAAGGACAGCTCTTATCAGAACTACGGCTTGCCCAAGGTCATCCAGCAGGTGCAAGTGGAGGAGTGAGGAATCAAACCTGGTTCTCCCAGATTAGAGTCTGCTGCTCTAAACCACTACAACCAAACTGGCAAGAGTGTATGTTCAGGTGTATGAGAAGATCTCCAGACATCTTTAATTTTCTTTGAAAGGAGATATTTGCGGGTAGAAGGAGAGGTGGGCCTGGATCAGGGCCACAGCAATGGAAATTTATCCCTCCTCTATGTACTACTTCTCCAAGAGAAATCCCCCCCCCCATCCCCTAAGCTGCTATTAGCCCCATGGAGGAAAAAACATAGGTTACTTTTAATTTCTTCCCCATGGGGCTACCAGCCGCTCCGGCCATATGGCTTGGGGGGGGGGAGACCCATCTCTGGGAAACGACATGGGGGGGGATTCTCCCTGCCTGTGACAGAGCCCTACGATAAACAGCTCTTTGCCAGCTGTTTCAATGTTCTTTTGGAGTTGTGGTTTTAGTTGCAGCCACTCAATCGTGGAAGAAAATAAAGAGATACACCTGATATCACTGGAAGTGGGAACTACGAATGGCCCCTAGTCATCCCAAGTGCCCATAAGAACATAAGAGATGCCAATGTTGGATCAGGCCAATGGCCCATCCAGTCCAACACTCTGTGTCACACAGTGGCCAAAAATACCAGGTGCCATCAGGAGGTCCAACAGTGGGGCCAGGACATTAGAAGCCCTCCCACTGTTGACCCCCCCCCCCCCAAGACCAAAGAAGAAAGAGCACCAATTGCCCCATACCTTGTGGCTAATAGCCACTGATGGACCTCTGCTCCATATGCTTATCTAATTCCCTTTTGAAGCCGTCCATGCTTGTAGCCGCCACCACTTCCTGTGGCAGTGAATTCCAAGTGTTAATCACTCTTTGGGTGAAGAAGTACGTTCTAACCCGACCGCTCAGCAATTTCATGGAGTGCCCGATGAAATATATTTTAAAATGGAAAGTTGTACTTTTGTACTGGAATGGGAGAGGGCACATTATTCAAAGGAAATCAGATTTGCAAAATCAAAGTGTTTTTGAAATTTCTCCCCCCCCCCCAAGGGCTGCTTTGATGCTTTTGGTATTTCTTTTAATGCTCTAGAAATGAATATGATTAATATTACAAAGCATTACAGGCATACGGTGGGAAGGCTTTTTCTGTCTGTGTGTATGGGGGTATTCTGTGTAAATGACGTCATAGATGCTGTTCTATAGGTGCTCACCACAGCTGAACACACAGTCTATGGAACACCGCCCAGTCATGCTGCTAAGTGCTAGTTCTGGCTCTTCAAGTGTGCTTGAACCATCAAATAAACCCGCTTTTGGCAAGAGACAACAGTGACAAAGCAAACAAACAAATGACTGTACATAATGAGAGCTCTGCAACACCGCCTCCACACTCCAAAAACCTATTCCACGCACACAGCCACAGGTGCATGAGGACTTTGGTCTAAGCTGTTTCTAGTTCATAGCAAGCAAACAAATAAAAGTGCCCCACGTTCCCTAACTGCTTGGTGAGAGCCAGTTTGGTGTAGTGGTTAGGAGCACGGACTCCAATCTGGGAGAATTGGGTTTGATTCCCCACTCCTCCACATGCAGCTGCTGGATGACCTTGGGCAAGCCACAGTTCTCTCAGAGCTGTTCCCTCAAGAGCAGTTCTCAAAGAGGTCTTTCAGCCCCACCTACCTCACAGGGTGTCTGTGATGGGGAGAGGAAGGGAAGGGGATTGTAAGCCGCTCTGAGACTCCAAGTGAAGGGTGGGGTATAAATTTTATCTCTTTTCTCTTCTTTTTCCCTAAGTGTACACACTGGTATTTGGGTATTTACTGGACAAAGTCTCAGTGCATTTAAAGCACAAAGATCTTCCTTGGAGAACTTTTTTTCCAAATAAGTATGGTTATTCCCTTCACCCCTATATTCTATTTGTTGACCCTCCAGGGTAACTGGTTGGCCACAGTGTGAAACAGGATGCTGAACTCGATAGACTGTCTTAGGTACACTTGCTAGATGTCTGAACTTACTCCCCTGAAAAGGGACTTGCACTCAAATTGTGTCTCAATAAATGCCGGTTTGCACCATTTGGGGACTTCCCCCTCCCCTCTGTATCCCCTCCTTCCCGCAAAGGGACTCATGATGTCATACATGATTCCCCCCCACCCCGTGTCCACACAATAATCCTTTGAGGTAGGCTAGAGAGTGATTGGCCAAAGGTCACCCAGTGAGTTTCATGACAGAGTAGAGATTTGAACCCAAGCAAGACCAAACTAAACTGGAGGGTCCGGCACATACACCACAATGGCCATTCTGGGAACTGTGTAGTCAAGCTACCCTGTTCCATTGGGTCTGGTCAAAAGCCTTTCTCTATTCCCAATATATAAAGAAGTGCCTAAACTCTGGAGTGGATCACATCTAGGGGAATGGAGCTTGGCTAGGTGAAGGGCAGTTTTACTTCTTACCCCCCTTTACTGCTTCCGGCTGCTCCATCAGAAATCGTGATGAAGTATTACTGGGGGCCCTGAACAGCACGAGCATGAAATAGGGAGGGGGGGGGTAATTGAAAAATCAGGGGTCGTGTCGTAGAAAAAGAGCTAGGGGAACTCATTAGCATAACTCATTAGCATATGCCACACCCCCTGACATCACTGGAAGTGTGTCATAAGGCCACACACCCCGCCCCCAAAGGTCCCGGCTGCCGCCACCGGCCTTGCAGCTCCACTGCCGAGCCCCATGAGCCCCATGATTGCAAGGAAGCCCCGCGAAGGCCCTCCCTGGCCCCAGGCAGGCAGGGGTGGGGAGAGGCAAGGAGGAAGCAACTTACGCTCCCTCTTCTCCTGCCTCCTCCTGGCTGAATGAGGGCCGGAAGCGGGGGGCGGGGCTTCGTCATGTGCCCCGCCCCCCGTACTTCACCCGGGGGAACTGCGATCCCCCGCGATCCCCTCGAATTGACCTCTGGAAAAATCACCCTCTCCCTCTTCACCAGCAGAAGATAAAATTATTAGGCACATGGAGGAACAAAGCCTGCTGAGGGAAAACCAGCATGGCCTCTGCAAAGGGAAGTCCTGCCTCGCCAACTGTTCAGAGTTCTTTGAGAAAGTGAACAAGCATGCATGCAGACAACGGTGACCTGGTAGACATTATATAGTTGGACTTCCAAAAAACCTTTGACAAGGTCCCTCACCAAAGACTCTTGAGTAAACATAACAGCCATGGGATAAGAGAGTGGGTTCTTTTATGGATTAAAAATTGGTTAAATGACAGGAAGCAAAGAGCGGGAATCAACAGACAGTTCTCACAATGGAGGAAAGTAAGGAGTTGGGGTCCCATCAATTGGTAAGAGAGCCAGTTTGGTGTCCTGGTGAAGTGCGCAGACTCTAATCTGGGAGAACCGGGTTTGATTCCCCACTCCTCCACATGGAGCCAGCTGGATGACCTTGGGCATGCCGTAGTTCTGATAAGAGCTGTCCTTGAAAAAGAGCAGTTTCTGTCAGAGCTCTCTCAGCCCCACCTCCCTCACAGGGTGTCTGTTGTGGGGAGGGGGAGGGAAAGGAGTTTGTCAGCCGCTCTGAGACACCTTTGGGGAGTGAAGGGCGGGGGATAAATCCAATCTCTTCTTCTTCTTCTTCTAAGTGTAAGGTGAGGCACATTGGGACAAAAAAAAATCCCAACTTCAAGTATAGGCTAATGGGTGGGTCTGAACTTGCTGAGCCTGAGAGGGAAAAAGATCTTGGGGTCGTAGTGGATAGTTCAATGAAAGTGTCAACCCAGTGTGCTGCAGCAGTGAAAAAGGTAAACTCTATGTAAGGAAAAGGGATTGAAAATAAAATGGCTGATATTGTCATGCCCCTGTATAGATCAATGGTGTGGCCTCATTTGGAATACTGTGCAGAGTTCTGGTCACCAGGAGGGCAGCCGTGTGTCAGCAAGCTGCCAAATGTG